GCAGTCGAGCCTGTCGAGGTCACTGGTGACTCTGGTGCTGCTGAGGGTGCTGAGGCTGGGGGTGCTGTACCTGGGGGTGCGGAGCCTAGGGGTGCTGGGCCTGGGGGTGCTACGTCTGGGGGTGCTGAGCCTAGGGGTGCTGAGCCTAGGGGTGCTGAGCCTGGGGGTGCTGAGCCTAGGGGTGCTGAGCCTGGGGGTGCTGAGCCTGGGGGTGCTGAGCCTGGGGGTGCTGAGCCTAGGGGTGCTGAGCCTGGGGGTGCTGAGCCTAGGGGTGCTACGTCTGGGGGTGCTGAGCCTAGGGGTGCTACGCCTGGGGGTGCTGAGCCTGGAGGTGCTCCGCCTGGAGGTTCTCCGAGTGCTTCGTCTCGCCGGGAGCCACTTTCGCCACAGGAGCTGCGTGAGTGGTTTGCCCGGCGCTGGAGGCGTGCTGCTGGTGCTGGAGGTCCTTCGGCTGCTGAGGGTGCTGCGGTCGCGGGTCCCGGAGGTGCTCGTCCTGGGTGCACTGGAGCTGGTGCTGCTGAGGGTGTTGGCGCTGAGACTACCGCTGGCAGTCCTACTGGGGGTGCTCCTGGTGCTGCTGGAGGTTCTGGAGCTACTGGTGGTGCTGCTGGAGCGGGTGCTCCTGCTGAGGGTTCTGGTGCTGTCCCTGCTGCTTCTAGCGTCGCCGCGCGGCCTCGACCGTACTTCGTTCCACTCCTGCAGCAGGTTCTTGGTCTTCCACCTTCTACTGGTCCTCCTCCTCCCTTAGAGTGTCCACAGCCTGTCTCGTCCCAGCTACAGTTGCAGCCTACCTCCCCTTTGCCTGCTCCTTCTCCCTACACTGGTCCTACTGGAGGTCTGGCTGAGCGTCGTGAGCCTGCGTCTCGCCCTGCGTCGCCTGTCCGTGCTGCTCGCACTAGTGGTCGCGGTTCGCGTCAGCGTCCTCCTCCTGTCCCTGGCACGCACCGGATGTCTCTGCGTCCGTCCACGGCTCCTCTGCGTGCCCCTTTGCCTTCTCCTCCTGAGTCCTCTCTTCCTGCTCTTGCCGACCCGGAGTCGGACTCTCTTCGTGCTGCCAGTCCTACTGTCACGCGTCTCCTTGCTACTGTTGTCACTGACCCTTCTTTCGAGTCTACTGCTGCGTCTGCTCTCGTTACTGAGCTCGTCGACTTTGCTGCTCGCTGTCGCTTAGACTACGCTGCTAGTCTTGTCGCTGAGTCTGAGTCTGTCTGTCCTCCGTCCGTCGGGGGTGAGTGTGCCCTTGGCACGGACGTCCTTGAGGACAGGCAGGAGGAGTTCCAGTATGTGGCAGCTGCCTCACCTCATCTCGTGTCCGTACTGCTTACCCCTGAGGGAGACCCGGATGCACTTGACATCCCGACTCCGCGCTCTTACGCGGAGGCGATAGAGGGTCCCTACTCCTCTCAGTGGCAGGCAGCTATGGATGCAGAGATGGCTTCCTGGAAGTCCACAGGCACCTACGTTGATGCTGTCCCCCCTCCTGGGGCGAACATCGTCAGTGGCATGTGGATCTTCAGGGTGAAGCGGCCGCCGGGTTCTCCGCCTGTCTTCAAGGCGCGTTACGTGGCTCGTGGCTTCAGTCAGCGGCAGGGAGTTGACTACTTTCAGACCTTCTCCCCCACCCCGAAGATGACCACTCTTCGGGTACTGCTGCACGTTGCTGCTCACCGTGACTACGAGCTGCACTCTCTTGACTTCAGCACAGCTTTCTTGCAGGGCAGCCTGCACGAGGAGATCTGGCTGCGTCGCCCACCTGGCTTCACTGGGTCTTTCCCTCCTGGTACCCAGTGGAGTCTCCGGCGTCCAGTCTACGGTCTCCGCCAGGCGCCACGTGAGTGGCACGACACACTGAGGACTACGCTTGCGGCTCTTGGGTTTGCTCCTTCTACTGCCGACCCGTCGCTGTTTCTACGCACCGACACCTCTCTGCCGCCGTTCTACATCCTCGTGTACGTCGACGACTTGGTCTTTGCCACAGCTGACACTGCTGGACTCGCCTACGTGAAGTCCGAGCTGCAGAAGAGACACACGTGCACAGACCTGGGTGAACTGCGCAGCTACCTTGGCTTGCAGATCACCCGGGACAGAGCACGCCGCACCATTACCCTGACTCAGTCACACATGGTGCAGCAGGTCCTTCAGCGCTTCGGCTTCACGTACTCCTCGCCTCAGGCCACTCCTCTGTCTACTCGCCACTCGCTCTCAGCTCTGCCTTCGGATGAGTCCGTAGAGTCGAGTGGCCCGTACCCAGAGCTTGTTGGCTGCCTCATGTACCTGATGACCTGCACACGACCTGACCTTGCATACCCTCTTAGCATTCTTGCACGCTATGTTGCTCCTGGGAGACACAGACCAGAGCACATGGCTGCAGCGAAGAGGGTGTTGCGCTACTTGTGCAGTACGTCGGGCATGGGGCTAGTGCTTGGAGGGCGGAGTCCAGTGGTCCTCACTGGGCACGCGGACGCTTCTTGGGCTGACGACCAGGCTACGCAGCGGTCGTCACAGGGTTACACCTTCAGCCTTGGTTCCGGCTCTGTTTCGCGGCGGGCTACTCGCTCGTCTTCTGTTCTTGGCTCGAGTTGTGAGGCTGAGATCTACGCCGGGGCCATGGCTGCACAGGAGCTTCGCTGGCTCACCTACCTGCTGACCGACCTTGGAGAGCCGCCTCGTTCTCCTCCAGTCCTGTACGTAGACAACAAGGCCATGCTGGCCTTGTGTCGAGAGCAGCGACTAGAGCACAGAACAAAGCACATTGCTCTCCGCTACTTCCTTGCTCGTGAGCTACAGCAACGTGGACAGTTGCGGCTTGCGTACGTGGCCTCTGAGGCCAACACTGCTGATGTCTTCACCAAGGCACTTCCGCCTTGTGATCATCAGCGCTTCTGCACTCAGCTGGGTCTTGTGCCCGTCTTGCCTCACTTGCTCTCCTCTTGACCTTGCTTGTACTCTCACATATATATATACCTGCTCTTGCTTGTCTAGCTTTATATATATGTGTGTACTCTTGCATGTGAACTGGCCGTGTGGCCTTGACCCTGTGCTCGGACTGTGTGGTGACTTTGTGATCCACCCTGAGCTTTCCTTTGCTTTGCTTTGCTTGACTGGTCTTGTGACCCCTTGTTCTCCCCCACTTTGCCCATGGGGGTGTGTCAGAACATTGTAGCTTATGCTGTTATGTAGGCTATAGTGGGGTATCCCATAGGGGGTACAACCAATTAGGGTTTCATATTTGTACTCACTTCATTTCATAGTTCATTCATTCTCGTTCTCATTCTCACAGCACACACCAGTAACAGTCACCCTCAGCACTAACAGACAAAGCATACATAGCAGAAAGGATAGCATCAAAGTCTAGGTCAAATTTAGCAATCCTAGACCTAAGCAGATCTGCCCAGCGAGGGAGCTCGGCGTCATCACCAAACTCAGCACGCCAAGCATCGTCGAGGCGGGAGAAGCAGCGGTGCTGAGTGTGGAGCCGCCCGCAAGTCTGACCAGCACGGTCACCAGTGCGAATGACATATGGGCAGCTACCACTACCCCCAGACACCCCACGCTGCAAAAACCACTCACGAAGCTGCTGGGGCGACTGGGTCTCGCTGCGACGCTGCTGCTGCTGACACTGGCCATCTCCAGAACCAACACGCCGAGCGCCAGTCCCACCGCCACCAGTCCCACCGCCGCCACAGCCGCCACTGTCAGAATGAATTTGCTATTTAGCCTGCAGTGGGGTACTCTGTAGTGAGTACAACCCAATTTAGGGTTTGCTATTTGTATCCCAACTTCCTATAGTGAAACCATCTCTTTCTCAATTCTCCCTTGCACAATCTCTCTCGACACTCAACTCTCTCGACACTCACTAGCCATGGCTCCTAAGTCTAGCTACTATTCTAACATGGTATTAAGAGCAATAAGTTCTAGGACCTAACATCAATGGGCCCACCACCTAATGCCCTGCTAGCCTAGGCCCCGGCCCGTCGCCACTTGGCGTAGCCCCTAGCCCCTAGGCTCGGCCCCTTGGCCCCGTCGCCCCTAACTCTGACACTCGGCCCCGTTGGCCCCGTCGCCACTAGCCACGCCCCTCGGCCCCGCTGGCCCCCTCGACTCCGTCGCCCCGCGCCCGGCCCGTACCTAGCCCGCGATCGGCCCGTACCTAGCCTCGCGCCCGGCCCCGTACCTAAACTCACGCCCAGCCTCCGTTCCGCGCCCAACGCCCAGCCCGTACCTAGCCTCGCGACCGGCCCGTACCCTGCCCGCGCTTGGCCCCGTTCCTAGCCCCGCGCCCGGCCCGTACCTAGCCTCGCGACCGGCCCGTACCCTGCCCGCGACCGGCCCCGTCTCTCGCCCGCGCTCGGCCCGTACCTAGCCCTGCGCCCGGCCCGTACCTAGCCCGGCGCACGGCCCCGACCCTAGCCAGCGCCCGGCCCCGTACCTAGCCCTCACACGGCCCCGTACCTGCCCAGCGCCCGGCCCCGTACCTGTCCAGCACCCGGCCCCGTCCCTAGCCCAGCGCCCGGCCCCGTACCTAGCCGCGCCCCTCGGCCCCACTGGCCTCGTCGCCCCTAGCTATGGCAAGAGGGGTGATGACTTCCTGCCCGCGTGCCCTGCAGTCGCACGCGCAGCTCCGCCCCCGCCCTCCTCCCCCCCCTCCCCCTCCTCCATGGGGACGGGGGGGGAGAGGGTGTGAGGGGGTGGCGGATGTGCCTCAGCAGCAGCAGCTGCCGCCGCGCCTCCTCCACTATCTCTCCCTGCCGCACCTTGTGTTGGGAGAGGGGGGGGAGCTTGGAGGTTCAGAGGGAGGCAGGAGGGGATCTGCAGCACCAGCCCCCCCCGCCCCCCCCTTTCTCCTCCACCCCTGCTGTGGGTGCAGCAGTGGGGGGGAGAGGGGATCTGCAGCAGCAGTGGGGGGAGGGGATTTGCATCATCAGCCCCCCCCCCCCCCCCCCCCCGCCCTTTTCTCCTCTCTCTCTCCCTGCCGCACCCTGTGTTGGGAGTTTGGAGGTTCAGGGGGAGGCAGGAGGGGATCTGTAGCACCAGCCCCCCCCCAGCCCCCCCCCCCCCCCCCCACTTCTCCTCCATCCCCCTGCTGCGGGTGCAGCAGTGGGGGGGAGGGGATCTGCAGCAGCAGTGGGGGGGAGGGGAGTTGCAGCATCAGCCCCCCCCCCCCCCCCCCCCCACTTCTCCTCCATTCCCCTGCTGCGGGTGCAGCGGTGGGGGGGAGGGGATCTGCAGCCCTGTGCTGCCCTGCAGCCCTGCGCGCCCTGCGTGCCCTGCGCGCCCTGCGCGCCCTGCTGTCCTGCTGCCCTGCGCGCCCTGCGCGCACTGCAGCCCTGCGCGCCCTGCGCGCACTGCAGCCCTGCGCGCCCCGCGCGCCCTGCTGCCTTGCAGCCCTGTGCGCCCTGCTGCCCTGTTTGCCCCGCGCGCCCTGCTGCCCTGCAGCCCTGTGCGCCCTGCTGCCCTGCTGCCCTGTGCGCCCCGCGCGCCCTGCAGCCCTGTGCACCCCGCGCGCCCTGCAGCCCTGCGCGCCCCGCGCGCCCTGCTGCCCTGCAGCCCTGTGCGCCCTGCTGCCCTGCTGCTGCCGCTACAGCCCTTGCTGTTGCCGCTACAGCCCTTGCTGCTGCCCTGCGCGCCCCGCGCGCCCTGCAGCCCTGCTGCGCCCCGTGCGCCCTGCAGCCCTGCGCGCTCTGCTGTCCTGCTGCCCTGTGCGCCCTGCGCGCACTGCAGCCCTGCGCGCCCCGCGCGCCCTGCTGCCCTGCAGCCCTGTGCGCCCTGCTGCCCTGCAGCCCTGTGCGCCCTGCTGCCCTGTTTGCCCCGCGCGCCCTGCTGCCCTGCAGCCCTGTGCGCCCTGCTGCCCTGTGCGCCCCGCGCGCCCTGCAGCCCTGTGCACCCCGCGCGCCCTGCTGCCCTGCTGCCCTGTGCGCCCTGCTGCCCTGTGCGCCCCGTGCGCCCTGCTGCCCTGCAGCCCTGTGCGCCCTACTGCCCTGCTGCCCTGTGCGCCCCGCGCGCCCTGCAGCCCTGTGCGCCCCGCGCGCCCTGCTGCCCTGCTGCCCTGTGCGCCCTGCTGCCCTGTGCGCCCTGCTGCCCTGTGCGCCCCGTGCGCCCTGCTGCCCTCTGCACGCGCCATGCACAGCCCCCCCCCCCCCCTTTTCTCCTCCATCCCCTGCTGCAGGTGCAGCAGTGGGGGGAGGGTATGGGGGTGGCGGGTGTGTGAACCGTCCCCTGCTCCTCCTCCTCCTCCGTCTCCCACTGCTGCAGCTGCCGCTGAGGGGGTGGGTGTGTGGGAGCCGAGGGAGTGGTGCTAGGGGGGTGACGTGGGAATGGAGCTAGGGGTGCAGCAAGGGGTGTGTGAAAGGGGGGTGGGACAGTTGGGGGAGGTTGAGCGGAGGCTGCCGTCTTGTCGTCCGCAGCACCTGTAGTCCGGGGCTCTGCTTCTGGTAGCTCAGAGAGCCTGCTGCGCCTGTCGCCTGTGGGTCCGTTGCTCCTGCCGCTCAGAGTTAGCCGCAGAGCCAGTTACTCCTGTAGTCCGGGGATACGGCTCCGGTAGCCACAGTGCGCGCCGCTCCTGTTGCCCGTGTGTCTGCAGCATCAGCCGTCGCCTCCTATCTCCTCTTCTCTCAGAGTCCAGCCTCCTCCTCCTCACTTGCCCTTTGTGAATGCCTCTAGCTTTGCTTGTACTTGTGAACCTGCTCTATGACTGCTTGCTCTGCTGATTATACCCCACTTTGACTATGGGGGTGTGTCAGAATGTATTTGCTGTTTAGCCTGCAGTGGGGTACTCTGTAGTGAGTACAACCCAATTTAGGGTTTGCTATTTGTATCCCAACTTCCTATAATGAAACCATCTCTTTCTCGATTCTCCCTTGCACAATCTCTCTCGACACTCAACTCTCTCAGCACTCACTAGCCATGGCTCCTAAGTCTAGCTACTATTCTAACAGCCACTCCCACCGCTGCCTCCATCGCCGCCACCAGAACCCCCACTCCCTCCACCAGTCCCACCGCCGCCACCACCCCCACTGCTGCCCCCACCACTACTCCCGCTGCCACCTCCTCCGCCCCCGCTGCCACCTCCACCACCCCTGCCACCCTTGTCCTTGCTGCTGTGGCGCTTCGCACTAGCAGAAGCAGCCTCGACGTCCTCAGCAACAGAGACGTCTGCAGCAGCAGCAGAGGCGTAGGAGGGGGCAAGGGGGGAGGGGGAGCACCCCTCAAAGAAGGGCGGGCGCGGAGTGCCACGAGCAGCACCTACAGCAAACGCACTAGTCTCAGCGGCGAGGAGATGCTGCTCGAGGATGTCGACAGTGAGGGAGGTGGGGTCAAGAGAGAGAAAGTGGTCCCTGTCAGAGCGAAGAGAGTCAGAGAGGCGTGTGACTATGAAGTAGAGGGTGATGAACATCGGGGGCTGGTTCCTGTCAAGGAACTCAGCGGGAGCGGCAGCGCGGTAGCGAGCGTCGCTAGCGCGCAGGTGGGGAACCAGGTCCTTGACTGTGGCAAAGGCGGACAGCTCGGGGAACAGGTAGGGCAAAAGCAGGCGGCCTAGAGCAGCAGTGGCAGGGGAGGAGTAGCAAGCGACTACAGCGTCGTACAGTGCCTGTGTGGTCCTGTGCTATCCGAAGTGAGCGCATTCGGCTAACGGCAGGTGGTTGCGAATGGCTAAGCGGGCAGCAGCGTCGCGAGAAAGCCACTGTGAGCGAGTCGCACTGTCAGCTGTGGCGGGAGGGGCAGTAGCGGCACCGGACACGTGGTCAAACAGTGAAACACAGTCCTCAATATCGCTCAGTAGGTACAGCTGCAGATCGTCAAGCCACGTGTCAAACTGAAGCGGTCTGCCCTCATGATAAAAAGCTAGAACTCGAAGCGAAGCCATCGGGGCACAATACGTAGGAGCAGTAGTGGCAGCAGTAGCAGTAGCAGCATTAGCAGTAGCAGTAGCAGTAGCAGCAGTAGTAAGAGCAGTAGCAGGGGCCGAGGGGCCGAGGGGCTTGGGGGCCAAGGGGCCGAGGTGCCTGGGGCCTAGGGGCCAGGGGCCGAGGGGCCAAGGGGCCTAGGGGCTGAGGGGCCGAGGGCCTAGGGGGGCCAAGTGGCCGAGGGGCAGAGGGGCCGAGGGGCCAAACACGAAGGGTGGGGGCCGAGGGGCCGAGGGGCCTGGGGGCCGAGGGGCCAAACACGAAGGGTGGGGGCCGAGGGGCCGAGGCTAGGGGCCGAGGGGCCAAACACGAAGGGGGGGGGGGCGAGGGGCCGAGGTTAGGGGCCGAGGGGCCTGGGATCGAGGGGCCGAGGGGCCAAACACGACGGGGCCGGGGGGGGGGGGGGGGGGGGGGCTAGGTCGACGGGGCTGCGGGGCCAAGGGAAACGGGGCCGAGGGGCCTGGGGCCAAGGGTCGTCAGGGCCGCGGGGCCAAGGGTGACAGGGCCGAGGGGCCGGGGGGCCTAGGTCGACGGGGTCGCGGGGGCCGGGGGCCTAGGTCGACGGGGCCGTGGGGCCTAGGTCGACGGGGTCGCGGGTGCCGGGGGCGACGGGGTTGGGGGCCTAGGTCGACGGGGTCGCGAGGGCCGGGGGCCTAGGTCGACGGGTTCGCGGGGGCCGGGGGGGCTAGGTCGGCGGGATCATGGGGGCCGGGGGGCCTATGTCGATGGGGCCGCGGGGCCTAGGTCGACGGGGCCGCGGGGCCAGGGCGACGGGGCCTGGGGCCTAGGTCGACGGGGTCGCGGGGGCCGGGGGGCCTAGGTTGACGGGGCCGCGGGGCCTAGTTCGACGGGGCCGCGGGGCCAAGGGCGACGGGGCCGGGGGCCTAGGTCGACGGGTCGACGGGGTTGCGGGGGCCGGGAGCCTAGGTTGACGGGGCCTAGGGGCAACGGGGCCGAGGGGCGAGGGCCGAGGGTCGGGGGCCTAGGTCGACGGGGCCGCGAGGGGCGACTGGCGACGAGGGTCGCGACGGGCCTAGGGCGACCGAGGGGCCGGGCTAGGGGCGACGCCAAGGGGCAATGGGCCGGGGCCTAGGGGCGACGGGCGCGAGGCTAGACTAGCAGGGCAGCATATGGTGGGCCCAAAAAAACGGTCCTAGGAAGGGACCTGCTATGAAACCATGTCAAAGTTACAAACGAGAATGAATTAACTATGAAACAGTTGGGTACAAGTACTAACCCTAATTGGGTTGTACCCCTTATGGGCTACCCCACTATAGCCTACACAATATAAGCTATATATCATTTTGACATTCGGTTCTCAGCTCCAGTTGTGAGGCTGAGATCTGCGCATGGGCCATGGCTGCACAGGAGCTACGCTGGCTCACCTACCTGCTGACTGACTTGGGAGAGCAGCCTCGTTCGCCTCCAGTTCTGTACGTAGACAACAAGGCCATGATTGCCTTGTGTCAGGAGCACAGAACGAAGCACATCGCTCTGCAATACTTCCTTGCTCGAGAGTTGCAGCAGCGTGGCCAGCTTCGTCTTGCGTACGTGACCACTAGGCCCAACACTGCTGATATATTCACCAAGGCACTTCCGCCTGGTGATCATCAGCGCTTCTCTACTGTGTTAGAATGTTATAGTGCTTACAATTTTCTGGGCTATAGTGGGGTAGCCCAGAAGGGGTACAACCCAATTAGGGTTAGTACTTGTACCAACTTTCTGTTCAATGCATTCATTCTTGTTCGTTAGTTTAACAGTTATTGCAATGGATATGGATGAATCCACAAAATCACGACACACGTACGAGGGGACACACACACATACAAACACAAATACAAGATCACATGCATTTACACAAACACAAAAAAACTGAATGCACAAGCTATAAAAACAATAAAACATGCAAACATCAATACAATACAATCCTACGAATCACCACTACTATCTACTTCACAAGTAATCTTGGCAGATGTACACATCTGGAACGAAAGTCAGAAGGAAATATGGAAAACGAAATAGGCGACGAATGAAGGAGAGAGAAAGAAGGAAGAGGGGAGAGAAGAAAAGAATTATCGTGGGGAGAAAATGGAAAA